GCCCTCTCTAGCTCACGCCCCATGCCCTGTGTGCCATTGTTTGCTCTGAAATTCAGTTGCATATATAGAGAGGGATAGAGTGTAGAGCTAAGATATACATTAGATATGAACACACACACACACACACACACACACACACTCACACGCTGCTCCCCACCTCAGACCTGCAGTGTCACTTGTGATCTCTAGGAGGCGTGCTCTTCCTCATCAGGAAGAAGAAAGGGCCCCCGAGAAGGGCCTAGGACAAAACACGGGGTGCTGGGCTTGGAGGGAAGATGCTGGATGTCACAACCCTGCTCCCTCTGCAGGGCCTTCTGGGTCTGTCCTCAGCCTCCACTCCCCCTTTGGGTTGTCGTTGACGCCCCTGGGTCACCACTCGCCCTGGGCTTGAGGAGTGTGAGAGACTAGAGCCCCCTTCCACCCACTTGGGCCTCAGTGCCTGCCACGCTCGTGCAGGGCTTGCAGTAGCGGGTCTGTGCGCTGCGCGTCCAGGTTTCAGGCATCTCAGTCCCACTGGGGCAGAGGCGCAGCGGATCCTCCCATGCCGCTCCTGGGCTCTGTGCTTGCTCGGGGCTTCTGTCCCCTCTCCTACTCATCTTCCATGTGCTGGCTTCCTTCCTTCTTAGACACACTTCGGGTGCACTGTCCTGACCCTGGAACACTGTGCATACAGCACCGATGTTGGATCCATCGCAGCCCAGTTTACTGACCTAGAAATCCGCCTCCCCTAGTTGTAGCTTTCAGTACTAGCAACTGTAGTTCATTTAGCTTTGGTTCCCGTCTCTTACGGGAATAAATGGATGGGTAGGTGGATAATAGATGCTTTTTGAGGTTTCCCATAGGACCTGATACAATACCTCACACATATTTTAAGATCAATAATATTGTTTGATTAACTGAAAGTAAGGTTCTAAGACATGCTCGTTAGACCAAGCTACAAAACCAAAATAAAAACCAGATTGTTGGTCTTGCTGCCAGTGTTTTTTTGTCAGGAGTCTCCCATATTTGACGAGCGCTGGGCCAGCTTAGAGGTAACCGAGGCAAACACTGAGGAGGCAGATGGGTAGAGTGAGAGCCCGCCAGGACCCAAGCAGGACACAGCATCTTGGCTGAGAATTCTTGGTCTCTCAGCTCTCACCTGACATGCTTTTTAATTAACAATGGAGATAATGACTATTCTCATCTTGAACTTAATGCTAGTGTGTGTAAAATACACTGATCTGAGGAGAGAGGAGCCCACATCACCGTTAGACTCTGACGGGCATTTGGGAGCTGCGTGAGCAAGCGGTGGACTCTGGGTCAGTTCACTGCTTGCAGGCTGAGAGTGACGCGCCCCAGGCTGTGGGATGGTGAGGGCATTGCAGCTATGACTCAGTGGTTCCATGACGCCTTGCGGGCCTGAGAGGAAGGTAGTGGAGTGAGATTACAATTTGATGGAAACATTTGCAAATTCAGTTTTTCAGGCCACCTATTCAAATAATTCTTTCATGCACACTGACTATTTCTATTGAGTGTTTCAAAGCACTTTAGTTATGAACAAATCTTCCTCTACATAGAGCCCAACCTTCCTTTTTATCATTTTGGTCTCGAGTGAGTGCCTTGAAATGCATTTTAGTTGTGCTTTTCTATTTATAAAAAAGACCTTGGTCTGTAGACAAATTGGAAAAGACTTCTGCTGATGCCCAGACTTGTGTGTGTGTGTGTGTGTGTGTGTGTGTGTGTATTGATCATGACCTCACTGGGAACTACATTTCTTCATTTCTACATCAGCTCTGTCTTTTCCACTGGTGCTAGGTTTATTTGCCCAGTAGTAAGTATGTTATTTAGATAATAGCTTACACAGACTGTGTAATGGTCCCCAGTGATAACAGCGCCTAATCCCTGGACATGGAAATGGAAAAAAGATTCCTGCTGATGAGGCGGGTTAGGGACTCTGACACGGGAGACCCCGCGACCACAGGGGTGGATGCTGGGGTGATGAGGCCTCAGCCCCGACCCCAGGGCCGAAGGAGAGGGACAGAGCAAGGCACCGTGTCTCCTGAGCTCAGCAGGGCTGGGCCGGGCACCTTTGTCTCAGCCCAGTGAAATTGCAGCAGGTTTTCGGCTGCTGGAACTGCATGAGAAGAAACCTCTGCCACTCCAAGTTACAGTGCTGTGGAGTCTGCTACAGTAGTGTCAGGAAGCCAGGACTAATCTTCCCTGTGACTGAGGCAGACGGACACTTGGTTGTAGAATTAGCAGTAGACTTCCAGCCTTTCTTCATGTTTAATAAAAGTGTGTCATTCTGCCCAGCAAGCCCCGAACTGGTACAGCAACAAACAGGGAACAAGATTCCGCTCTGCTCTGGGGAGCTCGCCATCTGCTGAAGAATTAAACAGAGGTCAGACACGGGCCCCTCCCGGGCAGCGGCCGAGCACAGGGTGGGTGCGCAGCGCCAGCTCTGGGTATGCGGAGGAAGGCGAGCACGGCCAGGAGGCACAGTGGGGCTGCAGCCGCGGCGAGAGGGCGTGGCTGGGAGGAGTCGGCATCTGCGAAGCCTCCTGCGCACTGACAACGCCTGGCAGTGCCCACCGCTCGCTGCGACAGGGATGCCAAGGACACTGAGGACGGAAGTGACAGGGCCTGCGTCCCAGGAGCCTCTGTGGTGTGGGGCAAGCTGCACGCTCTGCCTCCCGTCTTCTAGCAGGTACTGTGGGAGGCTCTAGAGGAGGCTTCTCTGAGAAATGTTCAGGGCAGCTGTGCTGCTGCGCAGGGTGGTTAGACAGGCACAGGGCGGCGAGGACTCCTCCCAGATTTCCAGTGAGCTGCGTCGGCAGATCCCGGATCTCATCAGCGTCAGCTCGGAAGCACAAGTGTTCACCCTGAGTGTTCAAACCACACCGAAGCCCTGGCCCAGACCACAGGCGCGGCTTCCCGCGGGCCCCTCAGGGCCTCTGGCGCATGGGCACTCACAGGAACGAGCAGGGTGCGTTGCTTGAGGATGCCCAGCTTCCCGGCACTCTCGGGCCCACAGCCTGCCTGCACTTGGCTCTTCAGTTGCTCTGTTGCCTGTCCCTGCTGCTTGGGTCAGGTTCTGTGGTCACCGGAGTCCTCACATCAGGGCCAGGCCAGGCTGTGGCGGGGATGAGCAGAAACACACGTGGAGAGAGACAGGCAAGGTGCCCTGAGGGCGTTGCACCCACACGCAGGCTCTGAGCAAGGGATGGAGTGCGGTGAGGTCCCGCCTGGAAGGCCTGATTCACCAGCACTACAGCCACCAAGTGGGGCTTCAGGGGCGCGGGGCCTCAGCCCTGGGAGGCCAGGCCGAGAAGAGGCATTGCTTCCCTCCTCTGCCCTGGCCGCTCTCCCCGATGCTGGCGTGGCCACGTCCTTGAGAAGCTCAGGCTAGGGGTGACGAACCTGTGGCACGCATGCTGCAGGGGGCTGCTTGTGTCCTTGAACACTCCGACAGGTGCGCCCTTCCTGCTTCGGCCCATGCTTGGTAGGTTCCGCTGCCCAGAGAGAGCAGTCCCCGGGCTGGTCAGGTTCCCAGTCCCGACGCCGCTGGGTGGGACCCCAGCCGTGAAGCCTGCGGACGCAGCCTGGCTTGGCCCTCCCCTCCCAGTCTTCAGATTCTGGTGATGGGGTACCCGACCGGGTCACCCTCTGCCGGGGGCTGGGCTGCCTAGCTCCTGTGGGACAAAGAGGAATTGGGGCCCACGAGCAACTCGGAGTGATGTCAGCAATCATGGAAAACACTGCTTTAACCCCGCATTTCCTAACACCCCCTACCCCCGGGGAGGGCGGCTCGTGAAATCTGTGCTTAGGTTTTACTAGGGTGCAGAACACTCGAGCTGCAATCTCCTCTGCCCAGTGACCACATTTTCCTCAAAGCACTGTGTGCTTCTTTGCTCCGTATTTGCAATAAATCAATTTCCATTCTCCTAATTATTTCCAATGAAAGCGAAAGTGTAAGGGACAGAACTTTTGTTGTTCTTCCAACATTGAAGAATAAATTATGGCAAGCGCAAGGTCGTGAGTTCGGTTCCCGGTACCGGAGAAAAACCAAAAAAACAAAAACAAAAACAAAAACAAAAACAAAAAAGAATAAATTAAAACCCTGGTTCTACCCCATCCCACTGGATATTCATTGTATCACCAAGGTGAGGACATGGGTGTATTCATCCACACGGCATGTTAGGTGCTTGTGGTGTGCCGCTGCTGCCCTCGGCACCAGGAAGAAGCAGGCGGCAGGGCCCAGCCCCTCCCAAGGTCTGCTGTCCACTCCAGAAGGGACCCTGGACAAGCAGGTGCGGCTGATGCTGGTGGTGGCAATGCAGGGATTTAAAAACAAGGCAGAGCTGGGTGTGGAGGAGCACCCCTCTGATCCCAGCACCCCAGAGGCTGAGGCAGAGGAGTTTCGGGGGACCTAGGAAGCGATTTCTACGCAGGGAGAGGGGCCTGCCAAGGCACAAAGGCTGTGGGGCATGGGGCGGGTGGAGAGGGGCAGAGTGGAGGGCACCGGAGGACACGGCCCAGGAGCCCTGGACTCTGAGCGGCTGCGGGCTGCGTCCTCACGCACTGCCTGTGCGCGACTGGTGCTAACAAGGGGCCGTGTGACTTCCTGTCCCGGCTGCTGTGTGGAGGCCAGGGAGATGGGTTTGGGTCTTGTCCGACGTCACCGCTTCTCCAGCTTCATGGACCAGGGTAGGAGGTGGAGGTTCTGGGGGGACAAGTGCGTGGTGCATCGTAGGAGCGGGGCCACCCGGCACTGAAGGAGAGCAGAGAGAGAGGGTGCGGCCGCGTGAGTTGGAACTGGAGTCTGGAGGCCCGGGGCTGGGGGGACGTGGGACTGAGCTTCCACATCCTCCTCTCTGCAGGACTTCGGCACCTTCACCTCCGCCTCCACCGGCCAGACCGCGCCTCACCGCAGCCTGTCTCTCCTGCGCCCACCGGGGCGAGGTTCAGCGTCAGCAGAAGAGTGAGACGGCCCAGTGACATGGCTCGTTATCTCTCCACAGCACTCAGGAAAGGAGAAACCGAGACGTGTCGATCGATGCTGGAGAGCCACACTGTAACCAGAGAAAGGACAGGAGGCCACCAAGGTCAGGAGGGGGACCCCAGGTCTGGGGCTGCAGGCTTGAGAAAGGGCTGAGGAGGCAGAGCCGGGGGGCGATGTATCAGCGACCGAAGGGAACCAGCCGACAGCTCGCACTGGGGAGCAGAGAACGGAAGGACCAGCTGGCTCTCCCCAGACCCCAGCGTCTTCCGGGTCCTGGGAGTGTCCATCACAAAGGGATCTTGAAGAAGCCCCGAGAGAACTGTGCCATTTTCAAGGCCCCACCAGAAGTTAGGTGTGGGGCCAGTCGTTCTCAGAGGAAAAATGGCAAAGTCACCATGACCCCACTGAAGGACACACAGACAGCTTGGTGTAGGACACCCTTCTTCATTTCCAGGGGAGAAAGTATCTGTGGCAGTTCCAACTATCTAGGTCACCAAGGCCAAACCTCCGGAATGGTTTGGGGTTGTTTGTTTCCTAAAGCAGCAGTCGCTGACCTGGACCAGGGACGCTCCAGAAGTCACCCAGGAGTGGAAAAATATCGACGGTAACCTGGGCATCGTGGAGCAGAACAGAAGGGAGATATGTTCAAGCCGGGTGGCAAGGGTAAGAGCAGTCTTTGCAAGGGAAGCCTCAGTGATGGCGTGCCCCTGACAGTCAGGTTGGACGCGGTCGCTAAGGTGGCCAGGACCCCGGAGTCATTCACATGCGGGCTGCAGCGTGGGCCGGCTTCAAGTGCACACACGTTACGAGCTCTAAAGTCACAGCAAATTTGATTCTGTTTCTGCTCCCACCTGGTTATTTTTTAAAGCAGGAACGCTGAGACCAGAGTGATTGCTTCAAAATCTGGGTCACCTGGGGACGATGTCACTCCTGCCCGCCTCCACGGCCGCCGTCAGGACCCTCGCCCTGGGCGGGTGCTCAGGAAGCATCTGCGGTGCCGGAGGCGAAGGCAGAGTCGGGACCGGCGGCGAGAGGAGACATGGGTGAACAGGCCCATGGGATGAGGCAGGGGCCAGTCAGGAGCAGCCAGGCTACCCTGAAACAAACAGCCCCACACGTCAGAGGACCAAGACAAGGTTATTTCTCATTCCTGCTGCCTCCTCAAGGGTGTGAGGTGTACACTAAAACATACAAAAATAAACACAAACAATGACAGAAAAATTTTACACTCTCAGGCTTTATAAAGTCAGCAGCCGTGTGTTTTCTTTTCAGTCTAAGGCATTTTGTTTGTTTTTTGTTTTTTTCTGGTACCAGGGGTTGAACTCACGACCTTGCGCTTGCCGGGCAGGCACTGTGCCGCTGAGCTAAACCCCCAGCCCCTAAGGCATTTCATTTTACACTTTGCAGACGAACTCCCAGCGTAATGCCCACACATCTCCCACTGGCCAGACCCACAGCTGCGCTGGCTGCTTCCTTCCAAAATTCCTGTCCTAATTAACATCTCACCCCACTAAGGTGCGCTAGCTGGTAAGGTGCCAGCTGTCACTTCCTGTCACATCTTGGGGTGTGGCCGGCACGGCCTGGTTCCCTGCAGCGGGACTGGCGGCCTGGGTGGGGCTGAGGAGAAAGAGGCAGCAGGGAGCTGGTGGCCAGGGCAGCACAGCTGGCAGACAGGTAGCAGGGCGTGTGCCCAGGGGTCAGCACTGAGCAGGGAGCTCACACGGGGTGACACTGTGACCCGACAAGAGCTCCGGCAGGCAGAGCACCCTGGGAAAGGTGGTTAGCGATCCATGCTAGGTGAGGTCCCCAGGAGCAGGCGGCAGGAGAGGGCCGTGCCCGGGCCTCAGGTGCCTGAGGAGCCCTTCGTGCTCAGAGTCCTGGTGTGGAGACCTTTCTGCAGAGGCAGCGGTGGCTGGCATGGCCTGGAGCCGTGGGGACTGGGGACGTCCAGCCGCGCAGCTGTGACTCTCCTGGGTGGAGGGGAACTCAGGGTTCTGCAGACATTGAGCCTCGGGGTGTGTGAGCTTTGACCAGCTTCTCAGCTGTAAGGAGACCGGCACAGAATCCAGTATCCTGAAGGTCACGGGCATGTCAGCGTTTAGCAGGCCGAAGAACAGTGGTCTCTGAGGGGACACGCTCTGCTCCACGGGCTGGAAGAAGGAAAGGTCTCCTCCGAGCTGCTGTTCCCGTGCTCCCCCAGTGACCAGGCACGGGCTGTATGGCCCGCCTGCCCGCTGGAGAGGAGCCAGCCGCGGCGTCTGCGGTTTCCGCGCTGTGCTCGGCAGTGGAGGCACCGAGGCTGCGGTCATCTCAGGAGTGCAGGTGCCCGGGCACATGGATTTCACTTCCTCCATTTGTGTCCTGTCGAGTAATGTCTACTGCTTGGGACTGAGCCCAGGGCCTTTGCAGTGAACCCTCTTTTAAATTCTGAGACAGGTTCTCACTAAGTCACTAAGTTGCCCAGGCTGAAGTTGAGCTTGGGACCTCCCTGCCTCAGGCTCTCAGGGTGCTGGATCACGGGACCTCCACACCTGGCTCTGCTTAATGTTTTCGGAACATTCGTGCTGGTTTCTCCTCCCGAGCCCTGTCCATGGCACCGTCCTCAGTGCAGGAAGGAAGCGCAGGGCGTCTGCTCCGTGCAGCTCTGCGGCCTGTGACCTGCAGCCCCGGGGACTTGGCTGCTGTCCTCGTGCTGAGAGCCGGACGGGCTACGGGCAACTGTGAGGCTGAGGAAAGTGGGGCTCCTGGGGCTTCTTCCTGCTTCTCAGCAGAGAGCGAAAGTCTCTGTCAGCCTGCAGAGTTCACTTTTCTGATGTTTTCTAAGCCTATCCCTGGGGTTGCTGTGCCTCAAAACAGACCGGCTGGGGCGGGGGCCTCACAGCTGCCAGGGCCACAGCAGCTCGGGAGCACAGACAGGGCAAGTACTGGGCACCAAGCGCATGCGGGTGGGCAGCCTCAGGCTGGCCGAGTCCCCACGGTGGCAGGTTCAGCTTCCTTCTCTCCTGAGTGCTGAGCTGCCAGCCCAGAGCCGCCATGTACCAGAAGGTTCTGGAAGGCTCTAGAAGGCTCTGGAAGGCTCCAGAAGGCAGGGCAATGGTCTAGGATGCTTCACTGTGTGTTGGTGCTCCCTCCCTCATGAGACCCAAGATTTTGTGCACCTTCGCATCTTTTCATCCTATGGGTACAATGTAAAATTACATTTCACACAAGGAGCTCTGTTTTTGGCTTGTTTGTTGCTTTGCAATACTGGGCTTTGAACTTGGGACCTTCTCACTGAGCTACATCCCCACCTCTTTTCATGCTTTCTGTATTTTGAGACAGGTCTTGCCAAGTTGTCCAGGTGACAGAGATGTGGACATGCGTCTCACTGTGAAGTGCTACTCCTGCCTGATCCACGCACACAGCTTGGCAGGGGACACTGTTGGGGTCGGCCTGAGCTCTGTGGACACAGGCAAGGCGCCTGCACGGAGAATCCTCTGTATACCAGGAGCAGGCACAATAGGGCTAGCACAGGCTGCACTTGCTCCTGCGCTGGGCAGTGGACTGCACAGACACGGGAGGACCGGCCTCACACTCGGCACGCAGTCTACTGGGACACCGGGAGTCGGTTAGTGAGAGAAGTCATGGGCTGTGTCCCAGAGGGTCTTAAAATCAGATACAGATGATTCCACGACGGGAGTCCAGGTTCATGACGGAGGAGGAGGAGGAGCCCTGGCAATCAAGTCTTCTGACTCAAATCACATCAATCTGTTCAGAGAACCCCCTGGACAACCGCGTACACAGGTGGCACTCTGATTCCTTAGTGTTTTACTTGCTGCTGCTATTTATGTGAGGAGAGTTAGAAATTCCATTTCGGGTCAAACAAACCACGTTTGAATAGTGGTTTTTTTTGTTTGTTTTTTAGCAGTACCCAGTAATACAGGGGAAAGAAGCTCCCAACCTGAATGATATCTGGGATGAGTTCATGTTCTCTAAAGTCAAAGAATGAATTTTAGGAACAACGGAGGTTAAGAGCAGAATATACTTATTGAGGGAAAGAAAGCTTCTGCCCGAGAGAGGGACAGAGGGAGGCCCGAGTAGGTTGCCAAGGACCTTGCCCTTCCCAGAGACTTTATAGAGCAAAATCACGAGGTGAGGTGGATCCAAGATGGGGGAAAATGGGAAATTACAATGTGGACATGAGGTGGCACAAGACTATGGTCAACCAATAAGATTGCAAGTATAATTGTTCAGGTAAAATTGAGTAAACTGGGATCAAATGGGGAAGTGAGTCCCGTAGCAAGCGGGCATGAATACAGAACAGGGGCTTCTCCTGTAGGGGGTTGTGACTCTTCCTGGCTTTTTCAAGGTGATGGCTACCTATTTAGAATATCAATCCCTGATGTCTACCCCTAGGGAGGTATGTGGGTGCATTTGTTTAGTCCTTTGTCTTGAGGCATGGCCCACAGCAAATACATCTCCTTTCACAAGGTATCTTGTCTTCCATGTGGGCTCCTTCGGGGGCCTGGGCCTGTCTGATTGCCTGCGATATTTCTATCTAACTCAGCTGCCTGTAACACCAGGACATTCATACTGAGCCACATCCCCATCCCTTTTTAATTTTTTCTTTATAAATTTTGAGATGATGTCTTCGTAAGTCACTAAGTTGCCCAGCTGGTCTTGAACTTGTGATCCTCCTACCTCAGCCTCCCTGAGTGCCGGGATTATAAGCATGCATCACCATACCCAGCTACCAGGTATGAACTCGTTACTCATTCCACAGTATCTTCTGATCCACTGTGCTGACTCTCTCCTGCAAAATAAGGCAATTATTCTTGTAATTTATAGAAAGCCCTTCCTGGTCCTCATTGTGGTCTGAGAAGTTTATAAAATCCTATGAAAAAGTTTTTGGAATTCTATCTGGTTAATTCGAATCGACCAGTTCCAGGGCAACCCATGGCGAGAATAAAGACACTAAGGCATATTTGTAATTATGGGGAACCAAGGGATCCTAAGTCCATCTAGCATAATGGCTAACCATAACAAAATTTTCCACCCAGAGCTGAACCTGGGTTTTGTTAATTCGTGAAGAAGGGAGTGGCTTGAGGATGAGTGACTGTGAGAATGGCAGGAAGTAGGTGAGTGCTGTGAGCTGGGTGAGGTAGGAGGACTGAGATCACCTCTGCAATATGCAGAGAGAAAGATGTGCAGAAAGAGTAATCTGATGACATAACTGAGGTAGTATGTGATGTTTTGGGGTTGGTGCTTCAGCTCTGATGTATAATCTTTTATGCCCTGGGAAGTCGTAGCCTCTTATTTTGAGGCTGGTCTCAGCTAACAGTGTGGAGCACGGCTCTCCATCCTGCCTCGCCCCAGCTCACACGTTTCGTTTGGGAGCTACAGGGCCCAGCAAAACACTGTCCTGTCGTCTTTGCTTTAAAGACTACACGGGAGCGCACGGCTGGACTGATTTGCATTGCTTTAGGCCAATTGAAGGGACAAGGAAAAGTCCCGGCCAGCTCTGTACACATCCATACGTGGAAATAGGGCCAGGTTTAGCTAACAATGGAGAAAGCTGCTCTTCTTTCAAGGAGCGCTGCCCAGGCGGTCCTCCACAGTGACGCGCGTTGCGGTCATCAGAAGCTACTGCTGTGAGCGCTCACTCTGCGCTGGATGTTACTTTTCCTGCACATTGCTTTGTTTCCCTTCTGAACACCCTTTCATTATTTGCATAGCATTGCCTCCAGTTCTCAGATGCTGAACAGCCTTGGAGACATGGAAAGTCCTGCTGGAGATCACACGGGGATTAAGATCTGCTCTCTCCGACTCTAACCCTAGGCTTCTCTGGCCCACAGGCGGTGGTCACGCTTCTAACGTCACAACAGACGCCGCGACAGCACCTCGACCTGCAGTTCTGTCAGGCAGCTGTGCCCCTCTGCTGGGCTGGCCTTGTTTCCGGAGGCACATGGAGGGGTGTGGGGAGAGGCGCGCTTTCCGTTAATTCCCGGCAATTCAAGAGGGTGAGAGAGACCTTTGCATTTATCAACTGCCCAACACACACGCTGGGGCTTTCATTACGAAAGTGCTAAAATGTTTGAAAATGCGATCCATTGTTTTGAAAATTTTCCAGATGTTTTGAAAAAAATTTGAGATTGTGCCTTGGGAGTGTAGGGAGAAGAACCTTAATTAATAATCAATCCAGTTATGAAAACCGGGTGTGAGCGGAGAGGTAAC